GTGTGCACTGAGCCTCCAAGACAGGGAGCAGGGCCGTGGAGAGCAGGGGGGCTGTGGAAGGGGCAGAGGGCCACCCAAGGCCTCGGCAGGACCCCACACCTGGCATCCTTCACCCTTGCCTCCTCCGTGTCCCACGTGATGCTGCAACTACTCACAACTGGGTGTGAATCACAGTGTTTGCTCAACAAGCAAAGCCTGGGTGTCACTAAGGTCCACACTCACAGGTGCTGGTCACCACCCTCAGAGCTCGTAGGCAGTGCAGAGGGGCAGCGAGACCATTTCACCCAATGCCTCAGCTTTGCCATCAGCACCCACTCATCCCCGGAGCCAAAGCACTCAGAGATGACTGCCAGGTTTGTAGGCAGGATCAAAAAGATAGAAGACAGGGCTGGGGACATAGCTCAGTAGGTAGAGTGCTTGTCTCACATGCACAAGCTCCTGGGTTCAATCCCCAACCCCACAAAAAATAAAAAATAAAAAAAGATAGAAGAGAGACGTGAAGTGAGGAGGAAAAGTTTGAAAGTTGAATCTAGTATAGCTAGAGTCATTCAGCTGGAGACATCCAAAGGCAGCTGAAAATAAGAACTCGGGGAAGCAGGCCAGGCAGGGGATGGCAGTGCAAATAGTGCTATGGGACGGTGGGGGACAGGATGGTGACAGTACAGTGTGGCTCAGTGCAGCATGGGGACAGTACCACAAAGTGACATTACATAATGGTTCAAGACAGCATAGTGGCAGTACAGTGTGATGACAGTGAGTGTGGTGACATGGTGACAGTACAGCATGGAGATGATGCAGCATCGGGACAGTGTACCAGCAAGTGCTGTGACAGTGATCGTGATCGTGTTGGTTTAGTGCTCCCACCCTGGGATCAGACTGAACGGAGCTCAAATCCGAGCCCCCCCATGTGATTCTGTGCATGCACCTGACCTCTCCCAGCCTCACTTTCTCCCTCTACAGAGGATGGAAGACGGTAGAACGTGCCTCCAAGAGCTTCTGCTTGGATGAAATAATAATGGGCACTGTTTCTGGGGCATTGTTTGTCATTTATAAGACAAAGATCAAATTAAACTCATTTTTTAACATTTGATATAGGAATCACCTTGTCTCCCTCAGATTGGGACATTGCCCATTCAGAAGGTCATCACACTAACCGGCTCCTTTCCATGTTGGCTGCCAGGGACTGATTAAGTGCGCTATTCCATCCTGGTTACCAGGCTAGCATATGAGCACACGTAGTATTTAGCCTCCTCTACTTTCCATGTCATCTTGATTTTCTATTTTAATGTGTTATCTGAAATAACACTTCATACCAAATTTCCTCAAATCCTTCTGTGGAAGCAAATGCGATAAATATATAAATAAATAAAATTCGTGTAGGAAAAATAACTCTGTGATCTGAGAGACACAGGTTGTCTCTGCAATGCCTATCTGAAGTTGCACAAACCAAAATGGTTCATTTTAAAGGTAGCACCCAGATACTCAGGACAAGTGACTTCCCCAGGCTGCCAGTGCCTCACCCCTGAGTCACCTGCCTCATGTGTCTCAGTCCCCTCGGAGACCCTCTTCTCTGCCCCATGTGCAGTTTCCCTCATCCCTCTACCCTAGTCTCTTCTTGGTGACAGCATTCTATTTCGTGGCTCTATTTACCCAGTTAGGATTCTCAAATCCAAACCACCAGGCTCCTGTCCTGAAG